GTTTGCTGCGCGACAATTGAGGGTTGCGGACGCATGGATGTTCAGATTGCAGGTCTCTGAGATCACGCCGAAATAGGGTCTGTGCTTTTAACACTTGTAGCGCTTGGGTTTTTTTGGAACAAAGTTGTGAAAGGTGTCAGCTGTCTTTGACCCACGGTCGGGGTTCCCAACCTTCCACCAAACCCTAAACCCTTAAACCCNNCCTAAACCCTACATTCTAAATCTTAAACCATAAACCGTACCTAAAGCCAAGGCCCCGAACCTCTTAGCCCCTACACCTCTCTGAGCCCTTAAACCTCTCTGAACCCCTAAGACTTAAACTCTTGATTTACAGGGTTTGAGTGGTATAGGGTTTGACACTCGGTCCCCTGAACCAAAGGCCATTATCAGCTACCAGCACTTCATCAGCTGGCTCTTCAGCGGGCCTCTTCTGCGCAGCCGCCCTTCACCCTCAATTGGATTCCGGGTTTTGCGGTGTCGGCTTTGGGGTAGAGGGCTTAGAGTTAAGGGTTTAGATTTGCAGGTTTCAGGGTTTGGATTTTCCTGGGAGGGTTTTGAGTCCAGGGTTGGAGGAAGAGAATGAATGTTGCACTTAGTGCATAGAATTTCGGTTGAATGTAGCTGCCTGAGCATTTCGTGCAGGAACTCGGGGGAGACAGTGTCTGTATTAAGAGTGTTCAAGGATTCTGAGCGGGCGAAGGTGCTGCAGACTCGAACCATGCAGCCTAAGCTGCACCCTCAACCTCAAACCTTGAATTCCTGAATCCTGAAACTAAACCTACAAGCTCCAAAATTTACAAGCTCCAAAACCCTAAACGCATCTAAACCTTAAGCCTCAGATTTGAATTGTATGGGCATCCGTTTGAAATCTGGTTTGTGCAGGTTTAGTCTTCTTGAGCCTTCTCCCCCTGGAAGACGGGTTCTGTTACACGTGGCATACGTTTGGGTTTAGGGTTTTGGCGTTAGGATGTCAAAGGCTGGATTTAAAGTCTGTCTTAGCGAGAACACCAAAAGTTGACTCACGGATTAGCAAGTCGTTGTAGGACAGTATAATAGCAGTATAGGGTTGTGCAGCATGTGTGTACATACAGCTGGAAGATTCGGAAAGGAAGTGAGCCGAATGTTTGCCCCAGATGCGGAGATGTTAATATCAGAGCCCCTACACAACGGACCACTTAACTTGAGAACGGACCATGGTGTGTGTCCAAGTGTAGTGAGTTTGGGGTCTAGGGTTCAGAGTTTTGGGCTTCGAGTTTATGGTTCAACAGCATTCGCACCAAACGGGTGAAGATGAATTTTGTAGACTGTGAGAGAGGACCCATGCGAAGCGGTTTGCCAGGCAATTTCGAGTAAAGACGATGAGACAGGGTCCTTAGTCTTTGCTGGTACCATTACCCGAACTGAAGTTTCAGTTATTTGGGTATTAGTCACTCAGCCAGTCAGTCATTCAGTCAATCAGTGTGTCTATCAGTCCACAAGTCAGTCAGTCGCCGGTCAGCCAACTGATGTGTTCCGCGTTCTGCTCCTGAGCAGCAGACATTGATGTAGATTAATATAGGGGCTAAATGCTTAGAACAGAGTTTGATGGTATATTCTACTATATACTAAAAATAAGGAGCCCCCAAAATCCTTTTCTAATTATTAAGGCCCCTACATGAAATTAGTTTGAAGGCCACGGGCCGAAGTTGGCCTTCTGGGTTTAGGGGCCGAGCAGGAAGCCACCAGAGTCGTTTGTCGTTGAATGAGAGCTGAGCCCAAGGACTTCTGCATCCTGTGATGAGAGGACTGTTCCGGTCATATAGGGGCATGAACAATTACCAACATTTTTCCTTAGGGCTCCTTATCTGAATTTTTTCTCTGAGGTACACCAAAACCCTGTTTTAATTCTCAAGGCTCCTATGTAAAGGTTGTTCCTCAAGTAGCGCTCTTTGATGAAACTTGGAGTGATGTTGGAGCATCTGCGTTGTCCCAGGTCCTGGCACAATCAGCGTCATGACGTGGAACGTGGCTGCTGACCTCTATCTGAAATTAGGCTTTGAGGTTTCGTCCTTCGATTTAATTCTGACAAGCGCAACATGGTAACAATCGGTCTTGACGTCCTGCGTCTGCACATCGCCTTAGGGGACTATCTCTGTGATTTTCACTGCTGTCGTTCTCGTTTTCCTGCCCGTCGTTGTTACTGCTTGTTGCAACCTACAAGAAGTGCATGTGGCGTGTCCATCAGTTGCTAGACGATAGGATGGAAGAGGCAAAAGCGAAAGGTACATGACCCTGGTGGGCGTTAACCTGAGATGCTTTCTGAAAGACCCTTTCCGAAAGCTGCACCCGAACTAAGCCAGTTTGAATCGGACTTTTATAGCGCCACGATCTTCTCTGACTCGTTCACCAAGCTTGATCATCGTTTTTGGCCGTGGCTTTCTAGTAACGTCACATGCATCGTAGTCAGCCCTTCGTGCAACCACATACAAGTCCTGCTGCAGGTCAACAACAACCCCTTCGAGTACTGGCTGGAGTACGATGACAGCAGCTACCTGGGTACAGGCATGTTTCCACCGACTACTTGTAGGTTTTAAGGGTCCCTTTACGGGATCTATAACAGTACTAGATGGGTCTCTTTCTTTTTGGGTTTTGGGATCATGGGACTCAGTAACTTGGGTTCTAAATAAGGTAACTATACTTACTAATAGCCCCGACCAAGGCATGTATAACCTAAGTAAGGTACGTCCCCTGCCAGGCCAAGCAAGCCCAAACACATCCCGCATCGTGCCACTGTGGGTGGATCCTGAAGGTCGAACTGGAGGTTGCGACATGAGCTGGTTTTTAAGAGATCCTCGCACCCCTACAGCCAAACCCCAAGCAAGAACGCCTCAACACGTAACCTGAGGGGATCCTCGTCAGTGAAATCGCAGGCTTGTGGTTTAGGGTGCCGGCGCAGATTCGTGTGCACATGTTGATTTTGCGCACCTATCTTCTCATGCGTGAACCTACTACACATGCACATCTACATTTGGTTTATCTCTTCCCGAATCAAATATAGAACAGATATGCAGTTGCGTATTATCTAGAATCTGAAGCATGCACCGTCAGCCCTTGCATGCTGGGCTCAAGCTCCACAATTCCCTGGACGGCTAGCCTCAAGTTGTAACAGTAAGATGGGTTCCATCTAGCGTCTGCTACAGGGCATTCTACTCTATACAACACCTGACAGTTTGCGAACCCCAAAGGGACCCCAAGTTGGACGACCACCCGACATGTTGCCAGCATGTTGCCAGCACAGGATTGCCAAAACACAGCCCTAAAGCCTAAACCCCAAAGCCTAGACCCTAAACCCTAAATCCAGAGCTGCACGCCAGGGTTTAGGGTTTAGGGTTTAGGGTGACCATGCTTGTGCCCGCCGTAATCCTAAAGTCTCAAGCCTTAAGCAGCTTCACCCCTACAGCATTGTCCCCAAGTCTGAGAGCCCTAAAACCTAAACTCTTACAACCCCTGAATATAGAACACCCTCATGAGTCGGTTTAGGGTTTAGGGTCGGTTTAGGGTTTAGGGTTTAGGGTTTTATTAGAATCAGGAAGCCAAGAAGATCCCGGCTTGCATTGTCATCCCTAAGCTGTAAAGGCTGAACCCAAGCTAAGGTCAAAGTTACAGGGCCAAACCCTAAATCCGAAGTACTAAACCCTCAACCCTCAACTTTAATCCCTGAACCCCAAAACTTAAACCCTAAACCCTGAGCCCTAAAATTTAAACCCTAAACCCTGAGCCCTAAGACCTAACTGAGCACAAGGTTACACGGAGCTCATGGTCGGCGTGGAGAATATTCTGGCCCAACCTGGCGACGTGGACATTGCAGTGAGCCGCTCCGAAGAAAAGAAGGGGACATCTTAGCTACTGTAATGGTTCCTATCAAGGTTTCTACTCGCTCACTGTGAGGGTTGCCATAAGTGTGACTACTGTTGATGGACAAAATTCTGCATGACCCAAATATAGTAAAGTACCATAAATCCCATAGTTTAGGTATATAAGGTCATGCAGGATTTTGTCCATCAACAGTATCACTGTTGGGTTTTAGGGGTCGTTCTAGGGCACAGGAATCAGATTGCTTGCCCTGGAACCCACGTACAGCCAGAATCTTGCACTTCAACTCCACCTTATAGGGCCCTGGCACTTGCTAATATCCCCACACTCTTATCAAGGCGGGGTTTATTCGGTTTTCAAGCTTGTCAGGCTTGAAACTTGTTTGGTATCAGGATACGAATGCTTCGTTTGCGATCTGCCTGCTTGAAATGTCCTGACTCTTGAACCTTTCCGCGGCAGTACTACGCAGTGGTGTAGTAGTAGTCGTCGACGTCGTAGCCATTAATCGTTAGTAGTAGTAGTAGTAGTAGTAGTAGTAGCAGCAGTAGTTTCAGTAGTAGTAGTAGTAGTAGTAGTAGTAGCAGTAGTAGTAGTAGTAGTAGTAGTAGTAGTAGTACTAGTAGTAGTCGTGGTGGTGGTGGTGGTGGTGGTAGGTAGTAGTAGTATTCCTAGAAGTCGTCGTAGAAGTCGTCGTAGTTGTCGGCGTAGTAGTCGGCGTAGTGGTCGGCGTAGTAGTTGTAGTAGTAGTCGTAGTAGTAGTAGTCGTCGTCGTCGTCGTCGTCGTCGTCGTACTCGTACTTATCGTAGTATTAGTACCTGTAGTAGAAGTTTGAGCAGCCGAGCAGCGCTTGTGGCAGCAGTGGTGCTGGCATTGGTGGAAGAATGTTTCCATGAGTCTCGAGCAGCGTTGGACAGTCCGCGCACACAGAATCGTTTCATTTTCGCTCGAACCGGTGGGTGATGATGGGGACAAGCCCTGGCAAACTCTCGGATCATTAAGCCTAGTCCGGGGGTTTGAAACCACAGGTAGGAAGCGCGACGGAAGAAATCAGGCGATTGCCGATGTGTCCAAGATGTTCCCTTCTTTAAATAAGCGTCAACTGCAGCGGCCTTTCGATCAAAGCTTGATTAGTCAGCTTCATGTTTGTATGTCAACTCCAAGTTGTGTGTGCTTGAGTGTCCGTGCCCTCTATGGAAACTTTGGCAGGTATCTAGCTGGTGGCCCTGAAGACTGCTTGAAGCATGTCGTCTTGGTTTCCTTGCTCCGTCATTTCGCGGATGATTGCGACTCGACAGCATCGGAGGGTATCGGAGGTTATAGTTATAGTCATAGTCGTTGTGAAGTGACCTGTGTTCCACTGCTGTAACTGGTTGGCAAGGTCGTCCATTCACCTTCATCGATGCCCATGCTGGTGGTGGCCTGTACAACCTTGAATGCGATGAATCACAAGTGTTTCGCAACCACGAGGGTGGTATCGCACAGGTGATTGATGGGGTTCGCGACAAAGCGATTTCTGGCACAGTATATCGACTGATGTATGCTGCCATGGCGAGATTGAATATAGTACTTGGGAGCCATGGCTTCCAGCACTACCTTGGTTCTACTGCGTGGGCTTTGCAATGGCTACGCTGCCAGGATCAGGCCAACGAGAAAAGTCCAGTATTCGTGTGACGAAGACGGTTGAGTAGTGGCGTTCCCCGGAAACTCGAGCATGCTATTTTGTAACCATTTGGCTTGGCAGGTGGCTTAGTTTGAAGGTCTTGTGCCTTGCTGGCCCCAAGGGTCTATGAACTTGCAGAGCAGGCTCCTGGTCAATGACGTCCTTCAGGGAACAAGCAGCGAAACTGCCCCTGCTGCAACTGCACCCTCTCCAGGCAAGGGTCAAGCCTCCTTTCAGCTTGACAGTCTACATAAGGTATCAGGTATAGGTGTATGCAACAATTGTTCTGTGACGAATTATACATACAACCCACGAAGAAGTCAAACTCGAAACACCTATCTGGAGTCACAGCACACTTGATCCTCTTGCGAAACGGACCTGTGCACTTCCTGCTCGAGCCTGTCCTTCTGTCAACCTACGAAGACGCCGAAGAAGAAGACGAATGGCGGTGTCCATCTTGTCAGTAAGGTCCTCTGCCTTGTACTGTGCCTTGCCCTCGAGCAGAAGACCCCTCCTCTCCTGCAAGATCCGCAAGGATCGCACCCATCTGCATGAGAGCAAATTGGCACCAAGTCATAATGCAGACCGGCAGATTTTGCCAGCCACGGACCATGAACCTGTCTCTGTCTACATCCAACCTCACATGTGTCCGGGCTTTCTTCTGGACAGAACACAGCTGCAAAGTCCGACACTTTTTGTCACTCACGGATCTCACAGACAGGCTTCCAAGAAATCCAGGATTTTCTGTGATATTTCGCATGTAACCCTCGAGTCTCGCAAGCATATAGATGGATTTTCGCATGTAACCTACAAGAGTCTCGCAATTAAATTATATATGGGTTTCCCACAGATAAACTTTCCAAAGACCCAAAACAATGCCCGCTTGAAAACAAAAAGGGATTTTGCTTGAAACTACCGATTGAATCTGCACGTGGCACCGCATGGCATTTCACAGACTTTCAACGAATTTCACAGATTTGCACTCAACTTCACAACGGTTTAGGGTTTAGGGTTTAGGGTTGAGGGTTTATGTGGATAAGAAATATATATATATATATATATATATACATAATATATATATATATATACATATATTAGTCGTGTTAAAAATGTTGATGGTCATGTCCAAAAACACTACATGTACATACACACGTACACACACATATATATATATATAGTTTAGAGATATGCGTGTGCATGCACATTGTATACCCTTGCGAACATGAATGTACGTGTTTATGCATGTATCCATGCTTGGTTGCTTGCTTGGCTGGTTGGCTGGCTTTCTGTTTGGGAAGACGAGGAAGTGCACAAAGACGGGCCGGGGGGTTCGAAGCTGCAAATGTCCGCAGAAGCAACAACGAACATGCACAGATCAAAACGGCGCTCGAGGGTACAAGTGCAAAGCAGCGCAAGCTTCGGCTCGAGTTGCAGAAGCAGACGCTGCTTTCCAACGCGATTGAAACGTTTTGCCTTCGCTGCCTTCGCTGCGGTTGTGGAAGAGATCAAGAGCGAACTCGTGCAGGGACGCAGCCAAGCACCAGCAGCGAGCGATAGCGAGCGTTAAAAGCCTCGGCGGCTTGGCTTAGCCACGCCAACAGACCGAAGCGGAATGCGACACTCGGCAGGCCTGCTTCGACCAGCATTTTGATTTGCATGTCGCGAAGCAGAAGCAAGCTCATCTTGTTGATCAAGAAAAGGCAAAATTCCACTGGAAAACCAAAACTGAGCACATTCGATTGGCTTTCGCCCTCCACCTTTTTGAGCAGACGCATCTCGGACACACAAGCGAGAATTGGAGTTGCGTCGTTGATGAGAAGCTTGCTGGTTGCGCTCCAGCTCGGGGACTACATGGATCCGTCGCAGCCGCTATGCAGCGCTTCTTCGCGACCGTTATGACGGACACCAATCTTCCCGGAGCTCCGCCTGGCAGGTAAAAACCGTCTCACCGTTCGAGAGCAGCTGGCGGCGGCTCTTGACGGCGAGTGGGCCGTCTTCGCTGGGATTGATGACAGCTACAAGATTCTCTTTTGGAAGGGACACGGTGTGGATCGGACGGGGCCCTTAGACACAGGAATGGGAGTTCGCGGCTGTCGTGCGTCGGTTTTCCACGCGCGGTGGTACCCGCCGCACACGCGGACACTGTGAGAACACTGCAGACCGAGAAGCAGGGTCCGAAACTGTGCTTGGGACGGGGCCTTTAGAAACGGGAATGGGGGTTGGCGGCTTTCGTGCTTCGGTTTTCCTGCGCGCGGTGTCTACCCGCCGCGCATGCGGCCACGGTGGAGCTACTATAGACCGAAAACGAATCTACACTTAGAAAAACCGAATCTACACTCAAGAAGTGAAATCCAGTAGAATGAATATGCGAGAGGCATGAAAATAGCTCGTGACACATCTATGCTGCTGGTAAGCAGACTATAGTCTGTGAGGATCTGCGAAATTCTGTGTAAAGCTGTCCAAGCCTGTGAAGGCCTGTGGAAGGCGTGCGCAAACCAGAAATCGCAGGCTTCATGCCCACCCAAACACCCGTGTTGCTGTCCATTCTCCTATTGGTTCCCCGCTGGGTTTTGGCTTCGCTTGGCTTTCACGGAACCTAGTGGACAGGCTTGAAAACAGCAATCGGACCCAATCCGCTTGAAACTACCAATGAAATCTGCATTTTTCTGTCGGCCGAATGACAGGGAAGAATTTTGCAGCTATATATGGGTTTCTCGCATGCAAAAACCAAGACTCTCGAATGTGTGTGTGTGTAGAGAAAAAATATATATATATATATGTACGCATGTATATACGTGTTTCTCGCATGTCAACTAAAAGTCCCGCAGGCAATCCGCTTGCCACATTCAGCACATAGAATCAAACCGAGAGGCGATTTCAGCATGGCAGACCATGGCCCCACAAGTATGGTTGCAACACGATTCGCAAGATCTTGCCGTCACAAATGACCATGCCGCACAAAAGTCGCAGGAAAATCCTATGCAATCAAGAAGCAGAAACATGACAACCGAAACAAGACCAACCAACATTATTGTTCAGTTCTCTTCTTCAATTAAGAAAAATTGCAACCCATTTTTTATTCTGCAACCTCAAAAATTACATTAACACCGAAGTTTTAAGGTTGTGATGCGCAAGTTGTTTATAATTATTGTTTCTTTACGTAATTTTTGTGTGTAACCTAGGTGGTTTTACGTAATTTGCTTAACATTAGGTAAACAGCAGGGTCGAGGTACGAATTTGGAAAAAATATATTTAGCTACTGTAGAAAAATAGGCAAGAGTGACCGCCATGGCACGCGGCGGGCTGGGGTGAGGAGAAGTTGGGCATTGTAAGCCGAATGCTGCGGTGGGCCGCAGCGAGAGGGCGCGCAATCTGGGAGCAGTGGTTGGGCACCCCGCGGTGGGCCGCAGTAGGGTTGGGCATGCCTTGGCCTCGATGTAAACTACTAGCTGAAAAAAATACTAAACTCGACAAAGCAGGAACCTGGCAAGAGGGAGCGCCGTGGGACGCGGGAAGCCGGAAGGCAAGGAGGAGTGAGTAGTTGAGCACCGTGGGGCCGAATCGGTGAGCGTGCCGCAGTGGGCCATGGTGCATGGGCCACGGGGGCCACGCGCGGTGGGCCACGGTGGGGTTGGGCATGCCCTGCAGGGGTCGAATTTTAAACTGCAAAACTATTAAACCAGAAAAATGGGGAGTTGGTGAACGCCAAAGAGCACTGAAACTACTGTGGGCGGAGCTGGTGGGCGCTGTGGGGCGTGCAGGGCGCGTGGGGTGCGGGAGGCTTGAAGGGTTGGGCTGGCCTTGGACTCGAATTCTAGAACACCAGTAGGAAGCAATGAAACTAGACTGTGGGCGGGGTCGGTGGGCGCTGTGGGGCGTGCGGGGCGTTTGGAGCGTGACGAGACTCTGGGCGGGGCAGTGCGCGCTGTAAGGCGTGCGGGGCCATTGGGCCCGTGTGTCGGGTGTGGGGCCCTGGGGCTTGGGCTTGCCATCAACTTCTGTAGGCACGGCTGGAGGGGTCGGGCGAGGCTGCGAGGTGTGGGTGGGCACGGAAAGTGGCAGGGCTGTGCCTGTGCAAGGGAAGGATAAACCAGTACACTGCAGAACAACAGAAGTTGATCGCGCAGGCCTGGGCACTGTAAGACGCACACAACTGGGAGGGGTGATTGGGCGAGCACGGAAGGGTCGCAGCGCTGGGCCCTGTGCGGTAGGGGATTGGGAATGGCAAGCCGGGCCGGTGGAACACAACTCATTGGCGCCGCTCCCAGTCCGCAACAAAACAATTGTCCCTTGCAGAGCAGCACGGCAGGCTATGCTGTTCGAGCTGTCGGCAGGAGCTGCTGCGGACTTGCGGCGCAGCCTTTCCACACTGACTGCATCCGTAGCAGACATCAAGCTTTTTCAAGCAAATTCCTACGAAGAGCTTGTGAGAAATCCACCTGTGTGCCATCAACGACAGCTTATTCTCCTGGATCCACCGTACGACTCTGCGAGGACTTATTTCACGTGGAACATTTACATCTTGTGGCGTTTGTACAACGATCGGCCGAAGGCGACCCTGGCGCTTTGGTTTCCGCACTACAGCGAAGAGCAGACGGAAGTTCTGCTGCATCGCGTGCAGCAGCTGGACCTCGGCCAGGTCGCTCTGGGGAAGAATACAAAGAATACAGCAGCTTCTTTTTCAGGAAGAAGGGAAGAACACAAAGATACAAAAAGAGCACTGGAGCCCTGCAGGTACTTGTGGCCATGATGACTTTGAGCAGACGCTCACGACAGCTACTTGGTTCCGGGCTTTTGGTTCTCCGGCCGCCCGACGACCTGCAGGACTCTGCTCCCACGGGGAAGGCACTAGATGAAGCATGTAATTGCAGCACGCCATGCAGCAACGGAAGGCAAGGGGACCCACAAAACTGCACTTGCCGGAATTGACCGAAGGTACTTGAGATGCACATGTGTGAGCAGAAGTGCTACAGAATGTAGCAATCACTGGTCAACAAGCCACACTTCGCCTTTCTTCTGTGGGTGAAACTTCAGATCCCTTATCACTGCGATTCAAACAAGCACGTGCGATTCGAAGCACAAACCCGACTCATCGACTCAAGCACACGCAAAACTGACCCAATCACTGATGCAAGCAAGCATCAAGCATGCGCGATTCGAGTGCTTGGATTCTTCGGCTTGCGCGCCAATTGTTCATGAGTCTAGGGGCTTTCCAACAGGGTCGAGGGTTTAAGCGTTCAGACTTTTTGCGGTTCAGGGTCATTTACGGCTTTGGGGATTCCTGTTCAGTCTTGGGGTTCTAAAAGCTTCGGGCCCTGGGCACAGGATTCTTGGGTTACAACAAGTTTCCGGCATGAACAGGCGCGTATCACGAGTGGGCGTCTCTGCTTCTGTGCTCCCAGTGCACGAGGGGGGGGAGGTGTGCGGCTTAAATGGGGTACTATCGCCAGCTGAAACCATGGGTTTTCGCTCCTATAGCCCGGGCCCGAATTAAGCAATTGAAATAAAATTGGAGATGGGCTCCGGATTTAAACGATTTAAATTATTTAATTCCCGACACCAATTAAATAATTCAATATAATTCAATAATTCGAACATTATAAACAAATTCAATCCCGGGGAGGGGGGTCCGGAGTGGGGGTCCCAGCATGTAAATTCTGTAAACTATTTAAATTATCCTTGCAGTGTGCGAATGGATCTATACCTATCGCGTGGTGATGCACCTCGAAAAGCAGGAAGAACTGCGGGAGGTTTTGCCCCAACTGGCACATGTGCTTGGTGCACCCGGAATTCCGGCTGCAACAAGCATTGAAGCTTCCACGGGCGGTTGGTGTATCTGATGTTAGCTTGCTGTCGCACATACCGTATCGTCGTTGCATCGTCGATGCTGCGGGATTCACTGTTTTGTCAACTCCCAGGTGCCGTGCACGTATCCGTGAAGTTGCTGCTCACTGGAAAAGATGAGCGGCCGTCTCGGCTCTGAGGAATGCATTGTACAGGACTGTACAGGTCAATGAGTTTCTTGCATGATGTGAGTTACACTTACACATAATCCTTGCAGCTTTCCGGGATTGCTCTAGACATGGAGTCCTGGAGGGACGCGGGAGACCGGAGTCTCCAGCACTGAGTCAGTGCGTCTTCCGCTCAAATGTACAGCATCTCATCCAGTCAACATTATCATGAGGCTTGCCTACGGTGCAGTCAAAGGGTTGAGTTTTTTTTGCAGTAGCTTCGTCGAAAGATGGGTTCTCACCTGTGGACGCAAGCATGGTTCAGGTGACCGGGTTGTGCGAATGCTGCTGGCTGTTTAGCTGGGTGACGGTCGGTTGGCGAAGGCCATGCTCTGGCGGCACGCTTCTTCCGCTCTGAGAGAGCTGCTTTGGAGGCCTCTGACATGACGGACTGGGCCATGGGTAGCCCGAACGGACAGGGCGGTGTGGCGCTGGTGTGCGGGTCCCAGCACGTCCCAGCGCCGATTGAACTACCCGTGCTCTGGTTTGCGGCAGGCCTGTAAGCGATGGGCCAGGCAGGAACTGAGCTGAAAGTTCAGTTGCAAGAAACGGCACTCTGAGGGCACGGCGTGCGTTCCTCCGAGGTGGGATGGCTGGCTGTTTCGGCCCACCAACCTGTGGAGCGATGCCAGGCAGGGTTCTCGTGAGGATCCTGTAGCCCAAAGTCGTGTGCCGTGCTCCGAAGCTAACAGCAATTCAGGCCACAACCACTCCACGCAGGGCAAGGGGCTTGGCCGGGGCGCAACGCACAGGGGCACCCCATAGCTGAGTTGCCTTCGAAATGCGAAAGTGAAGGAGGGGGGGTGTGCCGGGGCCACGAGCAAAGCGCACAACTACCCAATGGTCGGTATATGCTACTCGCGGTATGCTATATACAACTCCACAAACCTCGCTATGGGGGAAAGTGCACACCATTCTGAGGGTGGTTTCTGTGTTTGTTTCCTTGCTTGTTTGTTTGTTTGTTTGTCTGTCTGTCTGTCTGTCTGTCTGTCTGTCTGTCTGTCTGTCTGTCTGTCTGTCTGTCTGTCTGTCTGTTTGTGTGTTTGTTTGTTTGTTTGTTTGTTTGTTTGTTTGTTTGTTTGTTTGTTTGTGTGTGTGTGGGTGCGTGTGTTTGTAAGTTTGTACCGTCGTAGCACATGGGCACAGAGGGTCACGGCCTCGATTTAACAGCATAAGTGCATGATAGTTGTCTGACGCCCTGGAATGGTATAAGCACCGGCCCAACCTGCATGAAAGGCTGCTGCACGAGCCAGATCAACTTACGCCAGTGGGGTAGACTCGGATTGATTCTCTGCGTTACTTATAAATACATACTTGTTTCGTGGGAGCAAGGCTTTAGGAAGGCGAGCCGCACATATGCCAGATGTCCGTCTTGGAGAGGCATTTGCATCATCGCCGCGGTGTGGTCGCTCTGCCATTTTCCCAAGGAGTTGCACTGAATCTTGCACCCAAGCCAAGGTTGCCTGTGCAGCAACAGCCCCAACTCCAGCTGCCACCCCGTGCTTTCCAGGCGCCTCCTTCGATGATCCGTGATGTTGTACTCAGATGACCAATAGCATCCGCCGCAGGCAGTCAGCGGTACGCCCAAATCATCGAAAATCGCATCGCTTTCCATTCCGCATGTCTCTTCGCCGCCTGTCGCACCGCCAGAGCTTGAGGCACCAGGGTTCAAAGAGGCCGGGCAAGACTCCCCTGTTGCGAACTCCACTGGCGTGTTTTCGGCATTGTCAGAGGTGTCAGCGCCGCCACCTCCGCTACAAGAGCCATCGCTGCCACTGGAACAAGAGGCTCCGTAGCCGCCACTGTTGTCCCTCGCCACGCTGATGTGGGTGCCAGACTTTGCAGCACTTCTCACTCGTTTGAAATGATGAAATTTGCAGGACCATCTGCCATCTGCCTGCTTCTCGGCATGGATCTTGTAACTCCTTCTCGCGGATTTCTGTTGCTAGGTTGGATCCGTCGGTCATGCCGAGGGCACTTGTAGGCCATGTGCCTTCGTCTTCAAGAAGGCTTGTGGCAGTTGAAGCAAGCCGTCTGAGGATGTCGGAGCAGCATTAACTGCCGAGCATCTGCAGGGTTGTGACAGTGGCAGCCAATGTACCTTCTGCCATCTTTGCCCACCAGGCTTGCAATAGCCTGTCAAGAGTCAGTAGGTCTTTGCTGCACAGTTCTGAGGTGAAAAGAAAAGACGCATGAAGGAGAAAAGCACGAAAAAAGCCACAGAGGCGCACTTGCCTCCTCCTTGCACCCGTAAGTTGTAGAATTGTACGGGAATGAAAGAGTACGAGGTCAATCCGAGATCTTCCGGCTTCGTTTGTCGGGAGGGTCTGCTTGCCCTGAAAGATCTCAGCGGAATACTTTGAAGGACTAGGCAAAGCCACCGAATGGCTTTCGAAGCCCAAATTTGTCAAAGTTTTGAATGTATCTTTACACCCACCACTTCTTATTCTTCCGCAGGGGACGAGCACACCGTGAACTCTTCAGAAGAAGGCCTCTGTTGCGCATGTGATTCTGGTGGGCACAGCCGACATAGCAGGGTCTTCGTATCCAATGATGCCAGCATTAACACAAAACAGCGTATCTATGTGAGCACGGTGTAACAAACAACAAGCCCACACGACAGAGCCCAGCCTTTTGCCAGCGCATGGCGAAACAATTTTAAGAAGATCGTCACACAAGATGACTCACACCACAAGATGACTCTCTTCCACAGAGCCTCTGGTGGATGTGGGCTTGGATAGAATAACTCGAGGAGACATTGCCTTCGATTGTACAGAAGTGCAGGGGTCGTATATTGAGTGCTCGCGGCAACAGCGATATGAGACCCAAAGCCATGACATAGTCCGAGCGGGGTTCCTGTTGTTGATGGAAGCGTTCGGGTCAGCAAAATGTCGCGAAAACAGTCCGATCGGTGCCTGGTTGGCTTCAATTGTGCAAGTCTACAGGCCGAAATCGTTCGAGTGGATCCGGGATAAGCAAGCCAACTGCAACAAGTCTACAGCTTTCTGATATACCATGATATACCGCTTTCTACTATCGAGTCTTCAGCGATGTTACACTCCTGTTCAGAACGTGCAGTCGACAGCAGTCGACAGTTGTCTTTGTGTGTCCAACTGTAGTTGCCGTTGCCGTAGTTGTCAGATTGTGAGCAAGCGCAGGTCGGCAACCTCCTCTCCGAACAGAGATCCGAGAGAAAAGAATCTTTGGTTTTCCAGCTCAGTAGGGCTCTGATGGGCATAGATGATAGGTAGCTCGGCACTCGGCCGGAATGCTTCTCATAGAAGCCGTTTTGTCACCACGGCTGTCGCCAGTTGACGCCTCCGAGGATGAGGAATGGAGAGATTTTGGGTAGCTGCTATGCAAGAATTGCGAGTCGCGCAATCAAGAAAGCCTAGATTCACCTAGATGGGACATCTCAGCCCAGGCAGACTGATCCATTTCGTGTTACGAGATGCCTTCAAAATTTCGCAGATGCCTTTGACCCCAAGATGAAGTGTAATGTTCACAGATGCCCAGATTCTCCTTTGTGTCCTGTGCACCAGCTGGCACTGCCTGTTTTCCTGCAGTTCGTCAGCCAAAGACTCTGGCATTTTTGTGCAGGTGGGATGCCCAAGGCATAGATAGCTCCCACGTCTTTACACAAGCGCAATTGCTTGTCAATTTGGAATCTGCTCAATTTTGCTCTGAGAAACTCGGAGAACCTCCTAGCAGCTTTAGAGGATCTCAATGCGACGCCTTCATGGATCTGCGCTTGATCCGGCTGTCTGGTTTCCTTCGTGTCACCGACCCGACCTTGTGCCATGTTTCCATGTGACTGAGAGCTTAGACAAAAGCTTCCGCACATCGGCACAGCAGATTTCGACGCGAGTGGAGTTGGTTCCGGATTGTAGTTGACTTGTAGCCCAATTGAGTACAAGTTGTATGACGCTGCGCAGCGTTGCATCTCTTGACAGCTAATTCGGCTCATTCTGCAACCGGCATTCGTGTGATGAAGTGTTTGATTGAAGAACCGACAGTGCTTCGGGCAATCGGTTTACCACTGCAGCACGCCCTCTAAGCACTATTGCAAGCATGGATGATACGACCTGTGGGCGACATCTTGACTCAGTTTACAACATTTGCGGCTTCCAGCCGCTTCGAAGGTGCTCTCCAGGACACGAGTCTCGAGAGCTGGAAGCACACAGTTTGCTGGATTTAGGTCCATACTGCATCGTTGAAGAAGATCAGAGTCTTAACTCACGGTGTTGTTGATGGAGCAAGTAGTTGATGGTACTGATGTGGACATGCCGAAAGTGCTTGACTGTGGTGGGCTTTCGCAGCAAACACGACATTCGAGTGACTCTGAGAACATCAAGAGGGCGGTTAATGGTTCGAGGAGTTCCAGAACAGTAAAAATTGCGAAGACATGCCATCAAGTGATCAATTCACATTTTGTGTGCTGCTACAGTCACTGCTCCCTAGTGTTGGAGCAAATACTATGTGCACATCATTGTACTTTTTGTCCAGAACATGCTTCGGTCCGGGCATTGTGCCAGGTCATCTAAGAGTCCTGGAATCTGATTTCGGTCGCAACTCTCAAGGTCTGTGTTTGGTCGGCGCAGATCCGTCAGGTGCAGCAGTCAACTGTGCTGACGGAACCCGTGTGTTTGCTGTAGTTGTTTCTTTGCTGTCTGTGCACAAACCCAGGAAGCCAGTGAGGGAACCCCGGCCCGGGACGACAGCAAAAAAACATATGCACCCACAAATCCACAAACGACAGCAGAAAAAGCAACACCGCAACGACAGCCAAAAAACAAACGTGCCCCGAATCATTCAGGAGCGCATGTTTTGTGTTGACCGTCGTTGCTGGGACGCGTTTTTTCTTTTCGTCTGCCTTTGTCCCCAGAGCGTGTTTATTTTTGCTGTCTTGCGGGGTCGTGTTTTTCTTTGCTGTCGTCCCCAAGGTGCGCCCCCGCAACGACAAGCAAAAACAGAACGTTCTTACCCTGTGCTGACTCGTGCTCAAGCAAACGGGCCCCTTTTCTGTACGGCGTGTGGATCATCTTGATGACCAGCACCGTACATCTCCGCCTACAGCTACCGTGGTCGAAAGTTTCAGATCTTCGGACTCCAGGATAGTTTGGATCGTGGCATCATTGGAAGACATTGAAGACATGGTCTTCCGTTGCAGTTTTCGTATGCATTTTGCGCGCCTTGCGCACATTCTGGTCCAGCAAGCTACGAGGTCGATTGCAATGCTTTCGGTCTCCCGCTGTCACGAACACAAGTGTTGACCAATGCTTGGCGCGATCGACAATGGAGACACGTGTTCCACTACCCATGCCTCATTTGCAGGCTCGATTTCGCTGTTGCCAACCTACTTTGATGAACCTTGCCCAAATCGGTGACAGTAATCAGCATGCCCACCCATGGATTCAGTGACCAATGTAGTATGATCCGGAAGCAACCTCCAGGCCCAACGCCCAATGCTTCACGTACTTTTTCGACACGTACCGCGAACTGGCACATGCAAAACGCTTCATGTCGAATGGCTCCGTCTGCTCAGCAAAGCCAGTCAGTCAGGTGCAACAATCAATTGTGCTAACTTGTGGCCCAAGGGTGTATCATAGACTACAGACAAGAGGAAAGGCAGTGCGTTTCGTCGAGTGTTTGTGAGCCCACGGGTTGTTTGCTGTTGTTACTTTTGCTGGTGTTCGCTGTGCGTTCTTGCTAACTTAGTATGTGCCTCAACAGTGGTGTTTTTGCAAGAGAACCAAACCATCATCTACACCGGGCTCAGCTTTCATGGTGGTTGTCTGCGGCTGGTCGGGTCTCATCGGCTTCGGAATGTAGATGTCTCGCAACTGCGTGGGAATGGTGATGCTGACAGCATTTGGTTCTTCGAGGTTCCTCGATGTGCAGATTTGGGGAGAAGATATCTGCCAGGATATGTCGGCAACAGAGCTGGACCGGGCCTTGCATGCAAGTGTTCGTGCCCCAGCCGTTTGGCCAAGCACGCAGCTCTGTTTGGAAACCAACTAAGCTTGTCAGGTGTTGAAGCGCGAGGCAGCCAAAGAGGCTGAGTTCCGTGAAGCACGTGCGAAGCACGAGGAGGAGGTCGGGGTGATCATCCATACCGGCCTCACACCCTGCATCGTGTCCAGGTGCGGCTTGGCTTTGGCGCAACCGACATGTCAAAGCAAGAGCTCAGAAAGATCATCGACAGCGCCCGGGTCTTTTGGGGCTTGAACGGCTTGAACTGACGTCGGCGCTCCGGCTGCATCTCCGGAGCGAGAGCGCGCATTGTCTTTTTGAGGACAGGCGGATGTACTACCGGTCCGAAGACTTGAATGATAAGCTTTTCATTCATTACAAGGCCTCTGTTTTGCGACACCCTTTCAGTTCGAAGCTGGGCTGTGTCATGCTTCTGCGCAGGGCTGGAAAGAAATCAAGAACTTGGAGGGCTGGACTGCCTCTGTGCACGATGCCGAGTGTCTTGCGATGTCTTGCGCTTGTGTTCGGCAGGACTGGCCTGAAAGCATTGTACGCTGAGTGCAATGCTTTCGACCGCATCAGTGGCCTTTCACAGTGCCGGAACCTGCGCAGCCTTTTCCTGCAGGACATATTTGTGTTAAGCTCGTTTGGCCCATGTTTCGCATGGCTCTTCGGGATGCCCTCCGGGGTATCATGTCAGTGACAAGCATAGACTTACAGGAGAACTGCATTCGCAGGCCGTGACCCCAGTGTGGTGGAGCCCATGCACCGAGTTCTGGCAGATTGACAACTTGTCAGGATCGAAGGACTCGAGGGCTGCCCCTTGCTCTGGAATCTCAACTTGAGCAGCAACTTCATCGAACGTCAGCACCTGAGACTTAACGCGGTGAGCCTTTGTGGGCTGCGGTCTGGTTTGGGACTCTTTGCTTGAGGAATTGAAGGCCTCTCGCAGTTACGATCCTTGAACACCCTCACCATCCAGAAGAACAAGATCGGATTTGCAGGACTGATGACCATCTTAAGAACTTTGAGCTCCAGAAGTCCGACAGCAGGTGTGGAAGATGTGGTGCACCTAGTGGACACGACCATCTCTACACTGGATCTGCAAGACAACAAAATTTGGGACCCGGACATTTTGCCGGAGGCAGCGGCAGCCACATTGACATGCAGGGATGCCACACCCATGTCTGTAGCTCATAACGAAGCAAGGTTTTCACGCGCATGGCTGACCTGCGCGTCCTGTACCTCAAGGGCAATCCTTGCGCCAAGAAGATTCCGAACTATCGCAAGGGCATCACCGCAGTGTGCGAGAACTTGAAGTGACCCGTCGAATTCTTCTTCAGAGGACTTGCAGCAACCCTATGCATGCAGCGACCTCACTGAGGTATCTTGATGACCGACCAGTCTTTCCTGAGGAGCTGCGGCAGCTGTTATGTCACAGCTGCTTAATAGATGTCGTTCTCATTGCCCCTATTGTAGGGCCTGGCGGCACGGGCCGGCATGGCTGTCGCCTCTCCGATTCTCGCCCCTTCCCCCCTGCCCTTCAACCACCCAGCGCGCGCGCGCGCGCGCGCGCGC